GGCTGGAAGTTGGTCACACCGCTGCCGTACCATCGAGCTCCATGCATCGCCACCGACCTCCGTGCCGGCATCGAGCTCCGCACCGACGAGCTTCCATTTCTCCAAGGTGCAAGGTGACACTGCGTTGAAAGCGCGTGTTGCAAGCGTATGTTTCAAGTGTTTTAGATGTTTCATCTGGAAGTTGCATGTGGTTCTGAATGTTGTAAAAGTATATTGGGATGTTGCACATGTTGCAATGGCTATACACGTATGTTGCAAGTGTATGTTCCAAATGTTTCCTCTGTTTTTTCATATGTATGTTGTAAGTGTGTTTGTTTGATGTTACGTATGTTTCACACTTATGTTGCAAGTGTTTTATCTTAATATTGCATATGTTTGGCAATGGCTTTTCATGTGTTTTTAGGTCTTTTTGCAAGTGTTTCAGACGCATGTTTTAAGTGTTTCATCTGAATATTTCAAAAGTGGATTGGGTGTTGCACACGTTGCAATGGCGTCGGTGGCTGGCGGACAGCGGCTTGCCGCAGGGCTTCGACTACTACCTCGTGTGGCGTGCCTCGCCCTCTCCTCTCCCTTCCCTTCCCTTCCCTTCCCTCCATTTCACCTCGGCGTTGGGGTTGGGGTGGGGGTCATCGAGGGTGCTGCGTTTGGACGCAGGCGCTGGCGTGGGATGGGATGCGGGGTGCGGGTAGGGATGAAAACGGTCGGGAACGGTCGGGAAAATGTCTTAACCATTCCTGCTCCTGTATTTTTGGCCGGGAACGGGAACGGGAACGGGAAGGCCGGACGGGAAAACGAATCCGGTATTACGGGATATCGGGAACGGAATATTTCGAACGGAAACGCGTCGATTACGATCGGGAAGCGGTAATACAAAACGAAAACATCGATATATGTAACCACTGAAAACAGTGAGCTCGATGCAACAATAGCAACCATGCATAATCCATATGCATACAATAGCAAATAGTGAGCTCGTCAGAATATTTATGCAAAGAAAACTAAAGAACTACCAAAAAAGAAAATGAAAAAGAAAAATGAACAAAAGGCTTGCTGCTCCTGTGCTCCATGCCTCCATGCGTGAATTCCTGGGCCAACTGGCCAAGCATGGAATGATGGGCCGCATGCATGACTCAGCTCTTTGCCTCCTCTCTTCCTGGGCCAAACCTTGCTTCCTGGGCCAAACTTTGCTTCCTGGGCCAAAATTGCTGCTCCATGGGAAAAACGGGAATTTCCCGCGGGAGTTTTCCCGGACAAATACGGGATCCGCTAATTCGGTCGGGAAATCACTCTAACCGATTTCGATACCGGATTCGCCGAATTTTCCCGGATTTCTTCCCGAATCCGTTTTTTCCCGAGAAAATGATATCCGGTCGGGAATTTCGGTATTCGGTGTCGGTCGGTACGGGAATTTCCCGCTCCCGCTTTCATCCCTAGGTGCGGGGGGCGGGGGATGCGATGCGGGCGCAGGTGCGGGAGCAGTGTCAGGACGAGTCCTGCGGCCAGACGTCCGGGCGCTAGCCCTTCCGATATAAGTAATTTGGATTGCAAGTTTAACATGGGAAAGAACAACACACATACATGGTTTATGGTAATGAGAATATATCTATTGACATGTGTCATTAAATGAAAATATTTAAATGAGTTACACAAGGTTTTTTTTCGAGGACGTGCTTAGCACGTATTTCATTAAGGGGAAAATAGAGTTTTACAAACCGTCTTGCGCAAGCTGGCGAGGTGCCAATGAACAAGGCGACGATCGGATAACAATAGATTCAACACCCTTAGGTAACAATCTTAGGTGTTGAATCTATTGTTATTTGTTTGTTAGTAGCTATTTGGATTGCTTTAACTCGTAGGACCATCTTGGTTGTAGCATTACCCTCAAATTCTCAGTAAGAGAGGGTACCTGGTTTTCAGATAATAATGTACGCCATCACTCGCTATGGTTGCCTTGAGATTGCCCTGGCATTTGAGTGTGTGTGTGTTTGCCACTGTACTCGTGTCGATGAGGCTCAACATCATTTCATAGCAGATCAGCTTAAGCATCTACATTTTATATCTATCTTTCTGCCACGATGAGCAAATTCTGAGCTATCGTCCAGTTTAGGCAAACTTGTCGGTGTAGATGAATTGGAGAAAGGCCTTCAACACCTTTGCATCTATGCCACGGATTGGTACGCGAGCGACAATCGGCTAGCAGTCTTCTCTCTGATCACTCTAAATATAACGGCTGTGCCATAAACATCAAGCATGTTCGCTTAGTCGTATTTGACTTATAAACCATAACTTATCAATCAACGAACAATATTTTTCTCACACCAAACAAACCAACCATACTTTCCAACTATATAAGCCAAACCAACCTGACCGGGCGGCGGCCAGCACGTAACCGTGTGTGCGGCCAGCACGTACCTAACACCGAACGTCACGTCCCTCCTACAACCTTGCACCGAGGTGGCGCTGCTGGTCTAGTGACGTCACCATCAGATATCCCGGACTCTCTGTGCGAGTCTGCTTGACGACGGTGATGTCGCACCTGATTCGAAGGTGACGATTCCAGGAGTTCAGATCCTTCGTCCTTCCTCTCGAGTCTCGAGGACAGCCGGTGCCAGGCCGGTGCTGAACTGATAGGATGCTACGAAGCAGTGCTCAACCAATCTGAACCCACCCCTGTCCGTTCGTTACGAGCTCAACCTTAAAACCTATCCAGCCCACCAACTGGGTTATACCAACCACGCCAACCCCAGTCCCCTATACTATTTGAATCTAAATCAATCCAAAAATAAACTTTGGTTTCACACCGTTCGAATGCATTTGATCAAACCCAAGCCTGCTCGCAGGCTGAACCTGCTGCCTACCGCCTATGCCTGCAGGCTGCAGCAGCCACGCTAAGCATGTCCAGGTGAGCGACCGCCTCCGCTGCTTCCCCGACCAAGGTGAGCCACGGTGAGCACACACGCTCCTTCCCGACACCTCAATCACGTTCCGTAGCTTCGAATCGGAGCCTCTCCTTCGTCCGCCATGTGCCACTGCCGGCAGCTCCGGCGACCTCAAAGACCTCGGGCGTGGCCGCGCCGAGCGCACAACACACACTGCTACGGGGCGCGGAGTGAGCAGCCGGCTGAGCGCCGCCGCGCGTGCTCTGCTTCGTTCCTATCTTGTCGGCATGACGTCATGCTACGCTTTATGTCCCTTTCCATATATAAAAACAAATCCAGTAATACAATAGGAATACTAGTATACGTATCTCCTGCTTACAACAGTTCCTATCTTTTCGGTCTCACACCGTTAGCCCAACCACGGTCTCAAACCGTTCCCAAGTCCAAAAATATAAACCGATTCCAAACCCAACCAGCCCATTGTAGCTACTACCCAAACCAAACCAGCCCATTAGACTCTCCATCTAATTCCCACTAACCATGCAGGCCCAAATAAGAAACCAAACCAAAAAAATCCGGCTTGGGACCAAACCATTACCAGGTTTAGTTAGGGGTTTTCATCACTTCAATATTAGTGGTGTTTTTGTGATCATTTAGACTTTAGCTGCATGACTTTTCAGTTTGGATTGGCACACCCCACAGGGCCCACACGTCTCTGTCATCGATGGCTGCTAAATTGCGGTGGCACTTGGTAAAGTAAATTTTGCCCCTAAGGGCACATGCTCTGCTGTTGTGGACCACAAGATTCGCACTGAGATTCGTGCCCATCGTCTCTCTTCTGCTGAGCACGAATCTCAGTGCGAATATTGTCTCTCTCCTGCTGAGCACGAATCTCAATGCGAATCTTATGATCCACAATGTGAGGGCATGTGCCCTTAAGGTAAAAAAAATTGCATTCGTGGCACTCCACTTGTCACGACCTTATTGTTGTTGTTGAAGAGTTAGATGACGTAATCGATTGGGTCATCTTTGCCTCATTGTGATGATGCTTGAACAATTTGTATTGCCCCCATTCAGGTGCTTGGATGTCGTCATCTATGACCTTACGGATGAAGTCATGTTTAGTAGGAACTCTTATTAAGTCAGCGAAGTCCTTACTAGGAACTTCTGAAGAATGCCAATCTGTTAGCATGCTATTTTCGCTCTTATTTCTTTGCTTTCTCATATAACAAAGAAAAAACTTGGAGTTATAACCGCAGTAGTGACCTCACTAGAAAATTAAGAATACAACAGTCATTAAACTTGTTTTGATGGTGTCACATAGGTCCCAAAACTATTAATTTGTATATATGGTTTTCTAAAATTATTAAGACACGATCAGTGCATGCTAACAGATTTGTTGTCTTGAACAAAAAGCTAGAGCATACGGTCAGCTTGAAAGGCTTGGGGTTCCCATGCTTGATAGATAAGCGCGCTCAAGGGCAGATCCAGAATTGGCCCATGGGGGGAGGGGGAGGGAGAGGGCTACATAACAGAAGCAGGCTTCGATAGGGCTTTTGGGCTGATGAGTTGGGTTGATCTGCTCCTTGTATTTCTGGCCCAGGGGGAGGGGGGAGCCCATCCCCTGAATCCACCCTTGAGCGCGGTTTCGTGCACTTGTTTGACTATGCGTGTTCTCCAATCAATTTCTAATCCTACATACCCGTAAATCACGTAGAACATGAGAGCACATTACCCACACCAACAAACCACAATCGTACATGACTGGTAATTGCACGAAAACAGATTTAAAAAGAGCCGGAGCTTGTAGAACTGTCCCGAATAGAGCCTAAGGTCAGATCGATACGATTTACTAGCTGTGTGGACCAATAAGAGATAAGATTTTTGGTTCCTGTGGCACAACTGGACGGGAACAGGTTCTATGGAACCACATTCCCTGGCCACTATTGGAGGGCAAACAAACTTGCGTTGCCACTATAAAATATTGCTTGGTACCCCGCGCCAGGCACCCATGCAAAATCATCAGAAACCATCAGGTTGTATTTCTACAGGAGGACTCTAGCTAGCTAGTCTGACTGACACCACAGCCCAACAGACGTACGTAGCCTAGCTAGGAGGAGGATGTCCGCGACCAAAGCGCCGCACGTCGTCATGCTGACAAGCCCCGGGATTGGGCACGTCCTCCCTATGGCCGAGCTCGCGAGGCGCCTCGCCGAGGACCACGGCTTCACCACCACGATCATCACATACTCCTCCGGTATCTCCTCGCCCAGGAACGCCTCGGTGCTCGCCTCCCTCCCGGCATGCGTCACCACGGCCGCGCTCCCCGCCGTGCCACTAGATGACCTCCCCGCCGACGCCCGCATCGAGACCCGCATGCTCACCCTCGTCACCCGGGTCCTGCCGCACCTCCGCGCGCTCCCCGCCGAGCTCGTCAGCGCCCACGACGTCGTGGCGTTCCTGGCCGACATGTTCTGCGCGCAGGCGCTCCCGCTCGCCGCCGAGCAAGGCGTGCCGCCCTACATCGCCTTCCTGTCCGGCCTCGCGACGCTCGCCTTCATGCTCCGCCTGCCGGAGCTCGACAGCGCTACCACCTGCGCGTACCGCGACCTCCCGGAGCCCGTTCGGCTGCCTGGCTGCGTGCCGCTGCGAGGCGATGACCTCCTCGACACCGTAAAGGACCGCTCCAACCCCGCGTACGCCCTGCTGGTCGAGATGACGCGGCACCTAGTCCTCGCCGACGGCTTCGTCGTCAACACCTTCGACGGGATGGAGCACGACACCATAACCGCGTTCCAGGAGTTGTCCGACGAAGGCGTGTATCCTCCTGTCTACCCTGTCGGCCCGTTTCTCCGAGCGTGCTCCGAGGACGCGGCAAAAGTGCACGGCTGCCTGCGGTGGCTAGACGACCAGCCGGACGGCTCGGTCCTGTACGTCTGCTTCGGCAGCGGCGGCGCGCTGTCTGTAGAGCAAACCGCCGAGCTCGCCGCGGGGCTGGAGGCGTGCGGGCAGAGGTTCCTGTGGGTGGTGAACTTCCCCAGCGACAAGGACAGCAGCGCGAGCTACTTCGGCGCGGCGAGCCATGGCGGCGGCGACGACGACCTGCTGAGGTTCCTTTCGGAGGGGTTCAGCGAGAGGACCAAGGGCGTCGGGCTCTGCGTGCCGATGTGGGCGCCGCAGGCGATGGTGGCGTGGCCGCTGTTTGCGGAGCAGAGGATGAACGCGGTGCTGCTGGAGAAGGCCGGGCTGGCGATGCGCCCAGCGAGTCCAAGGGGCGAGGTGGTGTCGCGCGAGGAGGTGGCGGCAGTCGCGAGGGAGCTGATGGTGGGGGAGAAGGGGAAGGCCGCGAGGAAGAAAGCGACGGACATGCAGATGGCGGCCGCTGAAGCGTTGGCGCTGGAGGGTCCGTCGCACAAGGCGCTCGCGGCGATCGTGAACAAGTGGAAGCAGGGCGCTCACGGTGGCACAGCAAACGGAACGACTGCAATCTGAAAGAGTAGTGTTGCTCGTCCCTCCTAAGTTTTAAGCTGTATATACTTAGTAAGTAACCATAAATGAAACGATGACAATAAAATAACCACGATTAGGAGAATCTAATTGGCTAATTCTGTAATTCACAGCGGTGTTGAAAGAGGAGCGCTGGGACTGAAACCGTGCGATTCACCTACAGAGTCATCTAGTTGGGGGAGATCCCCACAGTTACTTTCATTTAGAAAAATATAGAGATACTTAAAATTGTTATAGGTACAAGTTAACTAAAAGCATCTAACCAAACACGTAAGGAAGACCTAGCATCTTTCTTGAAACGAACAGACAAAGAAGGCATTGCGACTTAAAATTGATAAACCAGCTATTGATGCTAAAATTCTCATTGTCGAAGATTCTCTGGTTCCTCATCTTCCAGATCTCCCACGCGGCAATGAGAACAACATGCATAAAGAAGACCTGACTATGTTGACTTCTGGCTAGTGCAACTCTGGCGTGTGATCTTTGGTTTGTTTCATTTTGGTCTTTGGTTTTTTTGTGAGAAGAAAATCTTTGGTTGGTATTTGGTTTGAAATTTGTTGAAACCAACAAGCGAACATGCTGCTTGTGAGTTGTGCAACAATGGTGATCAATGCCCTCTTCCTCTCCCGTTACACACATGGCACAATGAACATCTTCGTCTGCCAATAGATTTCTTCTTTTGAGCATGGATCTCGTGTTCAACCTATCCACCATAATCAACCAAGCGAAAAAAATGATCCTATTGGTGCAATTCGCTTTCCACATCCAGCTATAGATTGGATGAGCCTGTACTGGAAAGCCAGCCTGTACATCTTACTTGAGGAGTAGGTGCTAGCTCCCCAGATTAGGCTCCATCTGCCATTGTTGGCCACATCATGATAGAGTCTGGAGATAGTCCTGTAGGTCTAGTAGCTCATCAAGAGCTTGCTGTGTCAAGGGTAACGTGAAAAGGGAATCAAGGTCTTCTGCCAGAAGAATATTTTTAACCGAGATCCTTGCATCCCTTGCGAAGAGTTGCAGGCTGGGCAACTATCTAACAAATTAACCCCGACCAATTGCCATCCCAGAAGAGGATCGTAGAACCGTCACCCAGGGTGCAACGAGTGATGGTTCGTATAACGAGCTAAGCCTTAGCCCTTGGAACGTATTTCCACCAGAAAGAGCCTACCTCACGCGCTGCATGTGGCACTTTGCTTCTGTAGTATGCGTGCCAGATAAGTCACACCCAAGGAATGTTCTCCCTTCTCTCTAATTTTGGTTGTCTCTACTTTTAAGCCATGCTCAATTTCCTAAATAACAATCGTGTTCTTTCATCCTCATTTGAGTAAATCTCTATAGTGCTTTCATATTACCTTTGTCTGCCATAGTAAGTTTTGGTTTGGAAGTACTCGACATACTTTCAAAGGTTTTTTAAATTAAGCGAGGTGTTTAGGTTAAAATATATTCCTTAATCAAATTAGACATGGAATACTAAAAATTGCCTTAGTAGACACTGGCTATTTTGTTGGACTAACCCCTAGCAGAAACTTTCAATCCAATTTGGGTAAGTCACGAGATGAATTCAAATCAGAAATGAAGCAAGGCACATGACGAACTCCAATAACATTGTGCAAAGAAGACATGGCTCATTCAACATGGATGAAAGAACTATGTAATTCCCTAAACTTATGGACAACGAACCATGCTTCAAATTTGTTGTATTCCCTCGGGTATGTCTCCACTAACATTTTGTAGGGATGAGCTACACCTATTCATGGTTTGGCATGAATCTACAAACCCAGCCACAACTACAGTTATGGAACAAAGAGGAAAAAGACAAGTGCCATAAAATGATGAGTGGAGCGGAAGGACCAACAAGGTGTCAAAAGATCAAAGAGCAGAAAGATGACATGACAAAAGGATGAGAAAGGAGTGCAACATAGGAGACAAGTAGCTCAAGAACAACTCAAACTGCGAGGCTAGCCGAACAAGGAAAACCTCAAGCAAAAAGGAAAGGATCATCATGAGTCATCTACCCTTCATCATATGGTGCTACCCCCAATGACAAATGTAACATCCAAAGGTAAATGGCCATTATTTAAAAAAGTTTTTTCTTGATTCTGGTAGGCACATAAATAAAAAATAAAATATGTTTGGATCACAACTTACTTGATCCAATTTGACTAACTCAACATGTTTAGTTCTTCGAGCTTGTTTCTAGCACCAGTTTCTTGATCTCATAGCCTTAACCAAATGATCTAAAACTTTGCACATCTTATCTCTGGAAGATGATAGTCATAATCATATAAAGATTTATAGATAGACAATCCTTCTAAGGTTAAGAAACTCAACTCTTTTTGCCAAATGTACTTAAATGCTACACCCATGCTCAATATTTTGATCATATCACCCATGACATAATTGAACAAAACACACAACATCAACTTCGTCTTGTTCAATGTACCTGAGGTTAGAGAAGAATAAATAAAGTTTTAGTTCTGTTGGTGTTTTTCCACGCACAGAGCCCATGCACTTGATCTCTACCTTGTCTCATGAGCAGAACACACTTCAAGCAAAGTATGGGAGAGTTAGTTGATTCCCCAAATTTCTACAAAGATCTAAACCTGTCAAACCAAAATTAAAACTCAAAACCAAGATGGATTTGGCAGAAGAAGGTGACATGATCATTATAGATGCATCGTCACAAGAATTCTCATCTTCAAAGCAAACCAAGGTACTTGATCAATGAACTTCACAAGGAGAAGTCCGGTTCGAAGGACTTACAACATCGACCCCCATCGAAAGAGCTAGCTTGGGGGAGAAGCACTCCTGTGTATCCAGGTAAGTATTTTTCCCCTTTTATTTTAGTTTTAAGTTTATTTTAATTAATAAAAAATGATGAATAAAAACAAAATAAAAAGTTATCTTTATAATAAATATATATAGCTATAGTAATAATGTGTGATCTAGTAAAATTGAAAACAAAATAAAAGGGTGTGTCTAGTTTGCTTTAATTTGTTTTTAAGTGCTGAATAAAGAGGACTCAGTATAATCTCTTAAATGGAAATGATGAATAGTTGCTCTGTTGTAATTCTTTTCGAGCACCTAGTTTTCAGCCTTAAATTCTTTCGAGTTTTCGATAAGATTATTTTGACATAAGGGTTTACTCTGAAAATGAAACTCGTGGGTAGCATATGCTTGATCTAAGTCTCGGTAATTGATGGATATAATATGAGAATGTCTGAGCTGTTGTTTATCTTGTTTCAAGTGACACTAAAGTTCTGAAGATTTATCTTTTAAAAAACACAAAAATACTATATGATGAGTTCATGTATGACAAAACTTGAGTTCCCACCAGAGCCATACATGTTATTTAGACTAGGAAAACTTCCACATATATGCTGCTTATATTGCATTGAGTTTTATCGAGCTTTGTTGACCCTTATGAGAGGTTTGTCATGCTCTTAAAATCAAGATCACGTATACACCACCCACATATGCACTACTCCTACACTGGGGGTAGGCGTAAAAACACGCCTTCCATCTAGATCCACCCAAAAATATTTTACTCGAGTGAACACAAAAACATGGTTGATAGGTTTTCCATCCACCAAATAAATGCTTCAAGTTCTTGTTGCTATCTCTCTAAAGTTTTGTTGCATAAAAGAGGCATGGGGCTATGCAAAAGTTATTCATAAAAAAAGGGAAGATAAAAAAAAGTTGAGAAAAAATGGACAAGTGTCCAAGATATCTAAAACAATGGGTACTTAGATGTCCGCCTGAAAAAAAAGATATGAATAAGATAGCCCCTGCTCTCTAGCAATTGTTTCTAAGTTTTACAAGAGAGATATGTTTTCAAGGAGCAAAGTAGAATTATGATTAGACACCATAAATATCCACCATATATTCCACACACATGCACATCTTAATTTGATTGTATGACTCAAGTCTCTATGGATCTATTGTTTGATTTTACAATATATGCATTACAAGTATGCCCTAACTTTCTCCCTACCTATGAACTCCACATAAGCCTTAGTGGTAGGAAGAGAAAAAGGCATACCATCTTTATTGCCTTGGTGAGGATCCACAAATACCACATATATTGATAGACTTGAGAGTGTCATATAATGGAATCTCTGAGTTTTATTTTGAAAACTTATAAAAACTCTGGAATGATGGTTGAACAAAGAACTTGAGACATAATGCTTGACTTGATCGTTCTGTCTTTCAATTGCTCAAGACCCAAGTGACGACTAAGAAGCTCCATGATTGAAGGTAATATGGGTAAGTTTGAAAGTTAGATCAGTTTATTCTAATTCGGAGGAGAATTTTTGATTGAACGCATGTGTAATTTTGAGACGTGAAAACATTGTAGCAACTCATGATCCATTACTGAGTTTAGCTTTGCTCAGGGACTAGCAAAGGTTAAGTGTGGGGGAGCTTGTTGATGGTCGTTAACATCAATCATAAACCGTCAATATAACTTGTATAAATGCATAAAAAGCATCACCAACATAGGTATAGGGGTTTAAACTAATAAATTTCACAAGTTTTGGTGAATCTGTGTTTTTAGCAGGATTTAATCAGAAAACCGCCAAGAATGACCTATTCGTCAAAGCAAATCATGTTTATCCGCAGCGAAACCGACGTGGGAAGACTCTAGAAGACTCCAGAAGGCAAACCATCGAAGTGGAGGGCAGGTGGATGCCATGTGGGGCCGGCTGGCCCCACCTATAGGGCGCCCGGCCCTATGGGCCCACCTGTCAGCCCCTCCTTCAAATGTCGGTTCTCCACCGCCTCCTAGACTGCATCTATGTCGTTCTTTAAAGTCAATTTGATCTGAGAGTTCAGAATTGATGCTCCGGCCTATATATACCAGCCCCTACCCTCCTCCCTGAAGTCATCCTGCAACCCTAATTCATATTCTCCTCGTTAGGATCAGAGCTAGCTATCAAGAGAAGATTAGTCCTCTTTAGGATCTAGTCTTGTAAATAATGGTGAGA